ATTCAGCAACATGCTATTTATGCTCAGTTACTGAATATAACAATAATAATTTAAAAAACCTTAGAAATGATAGTGCTTGCACCACTCTTTAGTCTCCCAGGTTTAAAACATTGCCAATTTGGGAAATTATATTCTTCTTGGTAGGTGTTCCCTTAAAGTGGCTAATCATGGCCAGCCCTGAATCACAGGCTTTGATTTGCAACCAGCCAGTCTTAACAGAGTGGTCCTTTGGAGCTAGCAGGAGCTAGAGCAGAGGTTCTCAACCTGTGGGTCGCGACCCCTTTGGAGGTCGAACGACCCTTTCACAGGGGTCGCCTAAGACCATCCTGCATATCAGATATTTACATTACAATTCATAACAGTAGCAACATTACAGTTATGAAGTAGCAACGAAAATAACTTTATGGTTGGGTCACAACATGAGGAACTGTATTTAAAGGGCCAGAAGGTTGAGAACCACTGAGCTAGAGTTACGCTGTCCAATATAGTAACCACTAGCCTCATGTGGTGATTTAAATTAAAATTAAATAAAATTAAAATTCCTCATTTACACTAATCACATTTTAAGTGTCTAAGAGCCGCATGTAGCTGGCGCCTACCGCATTGGATGGCACAAGTACAGACATTTCTATGGCTGCTGAAAAGTTCTTTTGGATATTGTTGGTTGACAGTACTCTCTCCAAACAATCAATACAAAGATGAATTTTAAAGCCAGCCTCAATGCTCTCTGTCCCCTCAGGCCAGCATCTGGAATGGCCCAACCTCTTGCCCTCTTCCAGTTCTGGAGGCCACCAATCCCTTCCTAGTTAGATGCATTTTGGCAGTGGTTCTCAACCTTCCTAATGCTGCGACCCTTTAATACAGTTCCTCATGTTGTGGTGACCCCCAACCATAAAATTATTTTCGTTGCTACTTCATAACTGTAATTCTGCTACTGTTATGAATTGTAATGTAAACATCTGATATGCAGGATGTATTTTCATTGTTACAAATTGAACATAATTAAAGCATAGTGATTAATCACAAAAACAATATGTAATTATATATGTGTTTTCCGATGGTCTTAGGCAACCCCTGTGAAAGGGTCATTCGACCCCCAAAGGGGCCGCGACCCACAGGTTGAGAACCGCTGCATTTTGGTGTCGAAGGCCACTAGGCAGCTTCCCAGCTCCAACATCTGAATCAGGTGGTAATCATGCATCAGAATCACTGCAAAGCTTGTTAAAACACCGACTGCTGGGCTTCAGGGTTTCTAATCCAACAGACTGGGGTGGGTCCAGAGTTCTGTCTTACAAGTTCCCAGGTGATGCTTATGCTGCTCGTCCAGGAACCACACACAGACCTCTGCACCAAGGCAGTGAAGACAGGCTGGGTAACTGTCCCATGAAGGAGTCTGCCAAACGCTACTTTTGGCATTAGAAGGAGTTAGACTGAAGATATAACTTGTTAACATGAGTTTTGCCCTAAGCAGGCTTCATGGCACTCAGTATTACTAACTATGGATTTCACTCACTGTCTCAGGAAGAAGCAAGTTGGAAACAATTCCTTCCTAATAATTTTATTTAAAAACAAAATGAGTTCTAGCTGGTTTGGCTCAGTGGATAGAGCGTCAGCCTGTGGATTGAAGGGTCCTGGGATCGATTCCAGTCAAGGGCACATGCCCAGGTTACAAGCTCTATCCCCAGTACAGGGCATGTAGATGGCAGCCGATCAATGATTCTCTCTCATCATTGATGTTTCTATCTCTCCCTCTCCCTCTCTGAAATCAATAAAAATATATTTAAAAAATAAATAAATAAAAATAAAAGCAAAATGTAATAAACAAAACAACTTTGAAAAATCATCCTGGCCCTGGCCGGTTTGGCTCAGTGGATAGAGCGTCGGCCTGCAGACTGAAGGGTCCCAGGTTCGATTCCGGTCAAGGGCATGTACCTTGGTTGCGGGCACATCCCCAGTGGGGGGTGTGCAGGAGGCAGCTGATCGATGTTTCTCTCTCATTGATGTTTCTGACTCTCTATTCCTCTCCCATCCTCTCTGTAAAAAAATCAATAAAATATATATTTAAAAAAAAAAAAAAAGAAAAATCATCCTGTGCTACCTCTACTTCTTAAGAATGTCTAACCAAGGCAGGGGAAGGCCTACGTAACAGAGTAAAACATCTTTACTGATTCTTTTAAAAGACTATTTCAAACTAACTACAAAGCTAAAGTCAGGAAGACAGTGTGGTACTGGCAGAAGGATAAACATACAAATAATTGGAACAGAACTGAAAGTCCAGAAATAAACCCTTACATTTATGGAAAACTGATTTTTTAAAAATATGTAAATTTTTATTGATTTCAGAGAGGAAGAGAGAGGGAGAGAGAGACAGAAACATCAATGATGAGACAGAATCACTGGGGATCGAGTCCACAACCTGGGCATGTGCCCTGATGGGGAATCAAACCAGGACCTGGTTCACAGGCTGACACTTAATCAGTGAGCAACAATCCCTGGACAGATTTCATTCTTTTTTTTGGCTGAGTAATATGGCATTGTGTATATGTGCCACATCTTCTTTATCCAATCATCTATTGATGGACACTTATGTTGCTTCCATATCTTGGCTATTGTTGAAATGCTGCAATGAACACAGGGGTGCATATTATCTTTTTGAATTACTGTTTTGGATTTTTTTGGATATATATTCAGAAGTGGGATTGCTGGGTGATATGGTAGTTCTATTTTTAATTTTTTGAGGAACCTCCATACCGATTTCCATAGTGGCTGCACCAATTCAAAATGGTATACATGGAGTTACCATGTAATCCAACAATTCCAGTCCTAGGTATATACCCAAGAGAAGGAAAAAGATGATTCCACACAAAAATGTGTTCACAGATGTTCATAGCAACATTATTCACAATAGCCAAAAAGCATAAATAACCCAATGCCCATCAACTGAAGAGTGGATAAGCAAAATGTGGTATATCCATAAGGTGAAATATTATTTGGCAATAAAAAGGAAAGAATTACTAATACTAGTACATGCTACAACACTGATGAATCTTGAAAATGTTAGGTTAAAAAAAAAGCCAGCCACAAAAGACCACATATTGTACAATTCTATTCAGGAATTTGCATGTCATCCTTGTGTGGGGGTCATGTTAATCTTCTTGGTACAAATCTATTTATACAAAATGTCTAGAGCAGGTAAACCATAGAATAGGTAAACTTATAGAGACAGAAAGTAGATTACTGACTTCCTAGGGCCTGGAGCAGGTGGAGAGAGGTAAGTGGGAGGGAAATGCTAAGGAGTATTGTGTTTCTTTTTGTGGTGATGTAATACTCTAAAATTGATTGTGGTGATGGTTGCACAACTCTGTATCCCAGATAATGTAAATACTAAAAATTATATATTTAAGAGGGTGAATTGGCCCTGACTGGTTTGGCTCAGTGGATAGAGCGTCAGCCTACGGACTGAAGGGTCCCAGGTTCGATTCCGGTCAAGGGCATGTACCTTGGTTGCGGGCACATCCCCGGTAGTGGGCAGGAGGCAGCTGATAGATGTTTCTCTCTCATCAATGTTTCTAACTCTCTATCCCTCTCCCTTCCTCTCTGTAAAAAAATCAATAAAATATTAAAAAAAAAAGAGGGTGAATTGTATAGTATGTAAATTATATTTCAATACAGCTGTTTTTGTTTTTTTAAGTAGAACTGTTGGAAAGGAACTCATGTATTCCTTAAGAGGAGTTGGTTTTGATCTTCAAAGCAAGGGTTTAATTTAATTTAATTTCCATGACTTAAATTAAAAAGATACCTAGTATTTTACAAGGGGAAGCACAAGAAAGAAAAGAGAGCAAATTAGATAGCAAAATCTCTTAACTGAGAAATACATAAAATGTTCTTAGTCTTGTAGAAATGGTTCTTTATAAAGAACTAAGGCATACATAGGTTCAGAACACTCTGCATGAGCCAGAAGGAAAGGTAAAGGAAATCTGCCATCATTTGAGTTTTAACGTTTACATATTAAAGCTCCATATTAACACATGTTCTTTTTTGTAAAAAAATATATATTTTATTGATTTTTTACAGAGAGGAAGGGAGAGAGATAGAGAGTTAGAAACATCGATGAGAGAGAAACATCGATCAGCTGCCTCCCGCACACCTCCTACTGGGGATGCGCCCGCAACCCAGGTACATGCCCTTGACCGGAATCGAACCCGGGACCTTTCAGTCCGCAGACTGACGCTCTATCCACTGAGTCAAACCGGTTCTGGCAGCACACACACATGTTCTTGATATAGAACCAATTCTGAGAAATGGGCCTGAGGGACGAAAACCCTGTTTTAGTCATTAGACTTACCACTCGGCTGAAGTACTCGTCTAAAACTTCCACAAAGTTATGGATGAATTCATAAATTGCCATCTCATTCTGAAATAAAAAAGGGAGGATGCAATCAGTTTTAGTATGGCCCATGTGTGACTCAGACAGGGGGCTGCCCCGGCACACATGGCGTGGTATACAGACGTGAGCAAGGTAGCTTCCCATGGACAACTGTTCAGAATAGTTTTATAACTCACTCGTTTAAAAGAAGTTTATTAAGAGGAGAAATGTAGAAAACCGTAACCGCTAAGGTTTTTCTAATGTCCATAATGAATCTAGCTGGACTGAAACCAGACCACGTCTAGTGCAGAATTCTGAGCTCTACTCCCTGACTTCACCACCAACTGGCTGAAGCAATTTTTCAGTTTCTTCATGCCATCACTTTTCCACTTGTGAAGATGCGGAAACTACCTCCCAGTTTTGTTCACAGATAAAAAACTGAGATTTAAAGGATTTTAGATCACCCTTTCAGAGAGTCCATGGCCAAAGGTGCTGTTGATTGGGCCTGACATTTCTGAAAAGGTGAACTTAAATCTGAGGAGACATAATCACAACAGAATCATATTCACAGTTTGCTGTGGCCTCTGACATGTCAGCCTATGTTTAATGCCACAATAGCTTGGCCACTACACTTGTCTAAACTGCCCCCTGTGCACCACGGGACAAGGGCAGGACACCAGTGTTGCTTTGGGTGGAGGAAGGCCCTCTGTGGTTTTGTGCTTCTCTACAAGCTGCTCATTTACTAGTAATCCAATAAAAATCCAAGGTATTTCTCTTCCACACAGCTTTCCCTAGCCCTGAGAGAAACCAAAACCCTGCAAAGAGCCTAAGTAATTCTTAGAGAGGCAAGTAGGGAAGAAAATGTCCATGTGAGGAGGAATAAAAATCAGACTGTTAGGCCTAACTTCCTGGCATCTTCCACAGGCTCTTCTGTTTTCTTACCTCGGTGTCATTCACTCCAACCACAATGAAGAGAGCTGCGTACTGCCGATATATCAGCTTAAAATCCTTATATTCAACGAAAGAGCACTAGACAAAACACAATTATATATTAATTCCTAGGGTTGAAATGGATTTCCTCAAAATGGCTTGCATAATTTTTAGCTTCTGATTTGAGTACCTGTCAACACATTCTTAGAAATGCACATTAAAATGTTACACGCCTTTGTTGGTCTCTCCTCACAACACTGAGGGGACGACCTGGAAGCATCTCTAGTGGGAGGTGAGGAAGTGGTCTTGGAACAAGGGCCCAGTGTTCCCACGGGTTCCCACCTGTGCTCCTTCTCATTCCTTTGTGGGCTCTGTGTGGAACTCAGCAGGCAAAACTACTGAACTCAGCATTTTACACTGTCTGCCATGTGAAATAACCCAACACAATAAAGATTTTCTTCTTTTCACCTCCCCTAGGTTTTTTGGGAAACAATTAAAGATTCAGTTGTGTACTATTTAATCGTCACTGAAGAACCAAATATATGTAGCAGACACCCATGCCATAAATAAATAAATAAATAAAATCTCTATTTGTTTTTCCTAGCTCCATAGAATCAATGTAGACTCTTTTATAAATCATTTAAAGATGGCTTTTTGAGACCTAGCTGGTTTGGGTCAGTGGATAGAGCGTCGGCCTGTGGACTGAAGGGTCTCTGGTTCGATTCTGGTCAGGGGTACATGCCTGGGTTGCAGGCTCGATCCCCAGTAGGGGGCATGCAGGAGGCAGCTGATCAATGGTTATCTCTCATCATTGATGTTTCTATCTCTCTCCCTCTCCCTTCCTCTCTGAAATCAATAAAAATATATTTTTTAAAATAAAGAAAAGATAAAGATGGTTTTTGTGTGGCAAATGCTAGATAAATCTTTCATTGTAAACATTGCCTCATACGAATTCCTAACTAGCTTACCATCACTGACTTGTGGATAAAACAACTCCCTGCCCATTTATTTCTCTCCTACAGTCACTGTACAAAGGATAATGGGATGGCACTGGGTGGACAGGAACTGGGGAGCCAACTGAAAGCACAGTGCTGCCCTTCCCTTGGACTTTGGGTGTGCTTGGCCAAACGGGAGTGTACGGCTTCTTGCACTGAAGATGTTGCTCTTGGCTGCCCGGATGCACCTGAGAATGAAGTTGCACATTTTGATCATGGAATTTCTTCCATGGAAGCCTCCTGACAAATTATAAAATGGAGGAGGTGAGGCTTTTATTTAAAATTAGGATAAAGGTAGTAAGTGCAGGACCATTCTCAGCCTTTGGCTAACTGTAGAGCCAGGGTGGTTTGTACTCAGTTGGATCTTTCAAGGAAACACAACCTATTTTAATGAACTGAGGAACATTTTCAAAGCTTCTCAGAAGTTTTTGACATTAAAAAAAAGTATCAAGTGCCCAACTGGTGTGGCTCAGTGGTTCAGCGTCAACCTATGAATCAGGAGGTCACAGTTCAATTCTTGGGTTAGGTCACATGTCTGGGTTGCAGGCTCGATCCCCAATAGGGGGCATGCAGGAGGCAGCTGATCAATGATTCTTTCTCATCACTGATGTTCTTTTTATATATAATATATGTGTGTAAGTATATATATATATATATATCCTC